AAGAAGAGAGAGAGAGAGAAAAGAGGGGGAGGGAGAGGGAAGAGAGGCTGCTAATCAAAACCAAACTATTTCCTTAGAAAAGACTTTATACAACTATTTAAAATATGTGCTAGTCTAGGAAAAAGAGCTAAATGGAAAGTCAGGGTATCTTGATACCACAGGAAAGGCTGCCTTGCCAAGAATATCTCCAAAGTTCCTTCAATCTCCTCGTCTCCGGCATTGCCTTGATTGCTGTGTTTACTTTGTGCAGCCCATCTTCTGCACCGTGCTCTGCATAAAGCAGCAGTGCACCTGGTATAGATTGTGGTTAGCAGAAGAGGGGAAAAAGTTCTCTTTTTTTCCTCTCTCTTGTTTTTTTCTTTGTTCCTTGGCAGAGCTCAATTCAGGACTGGGGTGAAGAGGTAGAAGAGGGAGCTGTTTACCATGTCACCCTCAAAAGAGTGCAGATTCAGCAGGCTGCCAACAAAGGAGCCCGATGGCTAGGGGTAAGTAAAGCTGGCACGATGGCGCTCTGGAAGAGACTGCTCCTGGACTTTGGAGCCTGCTCCAGGGAGCTAATTCCACCAGGACGGTTATGATATTAACTTAATTAAGCACTGTCTGGTTTCATCATTAAAAATAAAAGTCTGGATTTGCCTGTCTTGTTTGAAAGAATTCTCTTGTGTTAACTCTTATGTTGATATGCATAGCAAGGTTTTGACCGATTGTGGTAATACTTAATGTAGAAATAAGTTTTTTTGTTTGTGACCTGATCCAGAAGTTGAATATTTACCACTGTTTTCAGACCAGGCTAAGTCTACAGCTGATGTAAAATATCCTCTTCACTGAAATCACTGGTGCTGTGGCAGTTGAGCCACATCTTCAGGAGGCAGTTATAGCTTGGGTGTTCATTTGTTATGTTTGTAAATTTTCTTCAGGATCAAAGGCAACTGAATGAGAATAGTTCAATGGAGTATCCAGGTTGATATTTAAGGACCCTTACAACTAGCCTGAGATTTTATGTCGAATAGATTTCTTATTGTTATGACCTAGAGCTGTACAGCAGCAATGAAACCACAGTCAAGAAAGATAAGCAAATTTTGTCCTGCATACAGCTAGTGCTTAGAAATTTCCCTATCCATATTTCCAAGAAGTACATKGAGTTCTAATCAGAACAGATAATTTAAAATCTGCTTCCTTTGGTGAGTGGCAGATTTCCCATCTCTGCCTCCTGTTTATAGCAGGATTGGGGAAAAAATATTAGAATGTATTTTTGAGCTCCTGTAAATTTCCCAGATGGTGGTTTTTGTAAGAGGTGGAGATCATTTTGACTAAGCCTGTTTTCTATAAGTATAATTTGGAAAAAGTGTTTTTTTCCCCCAGTTTTGGCTGTGGTTGCTCCTTGTGTGTAGAATGAGTTTGCTAGGTCTTGGTCATGTTCTGGAGAGAAGAGTTTGTGTTTCCTGAGCTCACCACCACAGCTGATAGTGTTGATCTTAATAAGCACAAAGGATTATGAGGTCCTGGAAATGAGTCTTGGCAAGCAGTAGCTTTTCCAGATCAGAATTGAGCCATGTTTGTGGGGAAGGAGTGCATGTGTTGGAAGTATCCAGTTGTGCAGAAATCACTAACTTCAGCTTCCAGGCCAGCACCTTTCATGAGCAATAATCTCAGGCATGTTATTTAAAATTATTTATAAATCTGTAGGCTTTTTGTTCCTCTTAAACACTTCAGAACATAAAATGTTTTAAGCTGTCTTTGTGGTCTTGCTTTATTAAGGTCTTTACTGTGGTCAATAAATTGCCAGTAACCCAGAATATTATTTATGAATAGGCACCCCAGCAGCAGTTTTGCTCCAAAAAGCAGAATCTTCTTTCATAATTGTCCTCAGGTGATTTCTGTCTGCCTTTTTTTTTTTTTTTTTTGGTCTGGAACTGATAACATTTATGATGCTTATGTTTTTCAGTGCTTTGAAATTCATAGTGCTGCATTAAAAAATGGATTTAATCAATGTTGCTCTTGCTTTTCTTCTTGATGTTGCTCTAAGTCATGCTTGGGTTGAAGATTGGAGATCAAATTAAGAAGATGGGAATAATTTGTTTATATCAGCAGATATTGAGCCTTAATTTAAACAAATAGAGTAACTGATTAAGTTTGTTTATAATTTACCCTTTAAAGGCTTTCAATATCTGGACATCTGAGAAGTCCAGTATATAAAAGTCCAGTTAGCAGTATGACCTTCTTGGGGAATTAATTTTCTCATGGTTTATTGCAGCAGGTTGAGTTACTGGTGACTTGATAAGCTGAAGTCCTTGTAAATGAGAAGTGTTGATGTTGCGTGTGAATATTAAATGTCTGTGTGGCACTTTTCATCAGTAGTGTTTGGATCTGGCGATTTTAGAATGGATGTTCTATGATAGAGATATGGAGAGGGATGTTCTATGATGAAGAGGCGTGATCCAGGTAAATTGAAGATATTAGTCTCACAAATAAGATACATGATTTTTCTGCTCATTCTCTGGACAGGCTGAGGACACATGAGGAAAGTAGAGGAGCTGTTGAGAAGAGTTAGAAGAGCTAGCGCAACTGAAGCTGAAGGAGCAACTGCTGGGCTATTGACAGGTGCCTGCTTGAGTTGCTCCCAAGGCTAAGCTGCTGTCATATGTTTATTAAGGCCACTGACATAAAAGCAAGAGTTTGTCAAAATCTGATAATCCTGTGGAGGAAGGGAGTACGTGGAATATGGAAACATCCTGCAGCTGACATTCAGAATTGGTATAACAGGAATGAGGTGAAGGAGCACAAAATGTAAAGACACCTTTGTGAATTAGTGAAAATTTCTGCTGATATTTTTGACCTTTCTTTTCCCTTCCAGCTTTGGGTATATTAATCATAAATTATATGAGCTAGCAACATGATATGAAGTAAAAAAGGCAAATGTGATGCTCAAATTTATTTTAGATTATTACCAGTACAGACAGGAGGCATGAATACTATTATGTGGTGGATTACAGCATGTAACTCTGGTCAGTCATTTCAAGAAAGTTGGTTTAAACTGGAAGGGTGCAGGAGAGGATGCAGAAGAGAAAAATAGTCAAGAAAATGATGAACATGTCTGATGATAGTCAGAAGAGTTATCTAATTAGCTTAGCAATATGGAGACTGCTATTAAAAAATCAGGAAGTAAACACTGAGAAGGGAGAAGAACCAATCATGATGAAGGAATGGGTATAAATTAGAAAAAGGTTTCAAATCATCAGAGCGATGAGATGGTGGAGTGGCACTTGAGCAAGAGTGAAGGAAGCAAGGAACCACAGCATCAACAGTGGAGGTACCTCAGTTGGTGAAGAGGATTGTGATTTCCTTTGGTAGCAGACTGCGGCATCTTACACTTCTAAGTTTCTGTAAGTCAGATGGAAATGTTGGAGCTAGAGAATGCTCAGCTAAGGAGCTACCAGGCTCATGAAGAAGGGATGTGACAGGAGGCCTTACTTAAGGTGGACAGGTCTTGGAGTCTGATGCTGGAGAGACTGCAATGTGAAGAGGAGGTGCTGATGACTGTGATGACATTAGATTTAAAGTAGATGTCCTAGTGCCAGTGAGAGGCACATTGCAGCATGGGGAGGCTGGGAAGGTAGTGGAGGAGGGATGGTGCATGGAGAGAGCACTTGGGTCCAATGTTTGAATTTGTGTTGATGAGAGCAATGAGGAGCAGCAGTGGGTGCAGCAGAGCAGTGTAGAGAGGTGTTGAACACTGTGAGTGTGGAATTGGGGGGGGCAGTACTGTAAAAGCAGACAGGCTGCYGCAGAAAAGTAGTGAAAGGCATGGATGAGGCCTGGGCAGACGGACAAGATTACAAAGCGAAAAGCAAGCAGTTTTCCAAGTGCTGTGAAGTTTCTTTGTAGACCTCTCCCTTAGCCAGCACGAGTGCTTTATCTCACCCGTCCAGGGGCTAGGCAGGGGTGGGCGAGTGGTGTCCAGCRCTTGGAGTGAGAGGGGAAGTAGGAAGGAATGAGGCTGTGAGACTGGAGAGGCTCCCAAGGGCTTGCAACTATTTGTCCTGCCAAAGGAGTTTGCTTTGCCCTGTGATGAGCAAGGAAGAGTCCTGCACTCTGCCTCTGAGYGGAAAGCTTTTGTCAGTGTGGGTTAGAGGAAGTGCAGCCAGCAGTGGGAGTGCTCCTACGCCTCCATRCAGTGCAACAGCCGTATAAAACCTATATCTTCACATCTTAAATGATAACTAAGCTTTGGGAGAGTCGTCAAGTCTCAAGTTTCTTGCTCTACAGATGGATAGTTGCTCTCTCTGTCATAGATATCTAGATAACAGTGAAATAATCTGCGCCCTCGTGGTCAGTGCTGTTTGACTCTGCCATTGGTTATATTTGTAGAACAGATTTTAAACACATTTTTTTGTTTGTTTCTTTGTTTGGTTTTATTTTTTATTTGTTGGCCCTTGGGTTTGCTTTTTCGGAGGTTGATTCAAAATATTATTCGTCTCAAAATATCTTTGATGCTATGACATTGGGCATGTAGCTGAAGATGTGCCTTGGAAGTAACCTATAAATGAGTTGGTGTCAAAGATATTTTAATAGTGGATTTGCTGCCTTTCAGTTTTACCCCTTTCAGGTTTTTTTTTAAACACTGATAGTATTTGATTACCTTTTCTGCGAATCTTGTGTGTTGTTTCCAAACTGAATTGGGAATAACTTTCTCATGTTACAAGATGAGTATGACCACATGTTTGGCTTCTAAACACCTCTGCAGTCAGATACATTGGCAGAAAATTGTACTGGAGAGTTCAGACAGAAAAAGCATTACAGAAACTTCATTTTAACTAACCCATATCCTGTCTTAAGGTATAATATTCTCTTTGGTGACTTGAAAATCTCTCAAATCTTCTGTTTTTAGTTAGATTTTTTTGTTTGTTTTCTTTCCAACAGGTTTTGCTAAATATGATCCTGGAATTGTCAACAGGAACATGTAGAGCCTCAGACTTTTTTCTTTGTGCTTGTCCTCCCGTGTGTCTTTCTGAGCAGTTCTGTTTTTTCTTTTCTGTTACTGAGGTGTTCAGGTCAGGTGTAGTTTTCCATGCAGTCAGGAGGCAAGGGCTTTGCTGATCTTTGTCCTTGCTGCAACTTGCTGTTTTGTCTCTGGTTTATGCTGTATGGAGGTCCCTTTTGACTAAATAAGACTCTCAGGAATTGGATTTCTGTAGCTTGTCCATGTGGCCCAGACCAAGGCAGGGTGTATGTTTGGCTAAGGCAGCAAAATGAATCCCAAGGAACTGATAGTCGATATAGTCAATATCCTGGTTACACTACTGTTTAGTAAAGAAAGTATTGAGAAAGTCTCTGAGGAGCTATCTTGGAGATGGAGATGAAAAGATCGGGAAAAGATAGTGCTGCCATTGAATTTTGTGTAGTGGAATATGTGTCTTAACTGTTGAGGACCCATGGAGATGTTGTATAGGAGATCCTGGAGAAAATTGAGTCCCAGAATATCACT